CTTTCTCTTTTCCTCGCGATCAAGTCGCTATACTATTCAGCGTCTAGCAAAAATGCTCAGACTATCATCCGGCATCTGGTGTCGCATCTACACGTAAACAACAATAGTGTCTAGTCTCGATTGTGTATAAGGTACGTTAGCGAGCTACCTCGCTAACTCGGAGCTTCTTTTAACATAGAAATTGTCTTAAATGACCCAGCATATTATTATTATGAACTTAATAATTGGAAATAAATTATCTTGTGATCTAACAATCTCGTAAAAAGGCGCGCGAATTTTATATGACAACTGGACGCGTATATCATTATTAGACCAGATTAGATTTTTATCGATAGAATTTTAACTCGGACACAAGTCAATATTTAATATGTTAAAGATAATGTTTAAACAGTCAAAAATATTTGAATCACGTATTTTTGTCGAATATCAGAAATAATTCAAACTTCGCACTTTTCGTTTCAAGAGAAATAAGACGCAAGCAAAAGAATGCAGTGAATGTATTATACATGGGTCATTTGAAAAGTTCTCGGAATTAAATAGAAAAATGGAAATTTATATCTTTTTATAAAATTATTTTTATTTTTTAATCTGATTTTATTAACATCAAGGTCTTACAAAATACTATTAATTGTTTCTTTAATTATTTTATCCGATGAAAATGTCAACGAAATCAGAAACCTTTCAGCGATTCTCCAAAATCTATATTGATATCACTTTATTTCGAGAATTTGTAAAATATGTGATCCACGTATAAGAACAGTTCTTCCATGTGTTTAATATTTTCTATACTGTCATTCTGTTTTGTTCCTCTACGATTCATCCGCTCGCTTTAGTCTTATATTTATATGTCGCTTCCTTATGCCAATCTGTGAGTCGTGATCTCTCATTTCATACCAACGTTGGCGCCGCTCAATGATAATTATCGATCCTCGCCAAGAAAAGCGTATCGATCGGCCCATATTCGGACAATTTATGTGATTTATGGTTAGGATTTAGGAATAACAAAATACTATCCTTTGGCAGGATTTATTGTTCGTGATTTTTTAGTACTATATTGTATCGAAGTATTTATAGGATATAACTGCAATTGGCGAAACAAATTTAGATCACGTCAGTTAGCTTGAGTTTTGTGGACTTGCGTTGTACAGAATATGATTTTTGTCACATTTCTGAGTTCTATTTTCTAGCTGAAAATCTTCGATCGACGACACGAAAAAATAATAAAAGCTTTTATTAAGAAGGCTAAAGAGAAGGCTTTTAAAGCATCGAATATAGAACAAATAAATATACGAAGAGATTATCGTTATTTCAAACTAGAATACAATAATACAACTTGGAATATTAAGATAAATCAATTTCGACTTAAATTAATCACTTTTCAATATATAATGACTTTTCATTATATATTGAAAGTATAATCGCCGATAATGTAATATTTTTTGTATATTGAAAAAGTATAATCGCCGATAATGTAATATTTCTCATACAAAATAGTTAATATCTTATATTTTTCTCGATATGAGGTTTCCGAGAAAATCGATTTTAAATATCCGCCAGTTTGGCGGATAATAACGCATACAGTGGTTTGTATCTCTCTATAGACAAATATTCTCATTTAACCTCTCTCGGCAGGATATTCCAATGTTTCTAAACTTTGATAACACGTTCTGTTTTCCGTTCTGTGTATATTTGGTATACTTATGAAGATGCCGTGGTGATTAAATACTACAACAGATCTAATACGTATTCGATAGATGTTGAAAATTTATTTTCTCAAGTTTCGTACAAAAGAAAAATTATTCGATTTTTAATTTGTTTTTCCAGCAAGAAATCACTTCATTTACGATTGGTATTGCTATGTCCCGTATATCTCATTATTAGAGATTTTTCGTGGCAAAGAAATTTCTTTGAACGATTTAGATCAAATATATAAACCCCTCGAAATTCTAGAGCTCTGTCTAAAATAATTAAAAACATTGAAAATGGCTTAAAATGTATTTAAAATAATTTTGAGTTAATGCACTCTTTGGATGTAGTACGATTGAACTGTTTTTAGAACTGCCGTTTAAACGAGACAGAATTGGCAAGTTAATAATTCGAATTGTTGAACTTTACTATACTTGACGATCCAGGCTTATGTTAGTCTTACATTAGCAATTTATAAAGAGACGGGAAACAAAGTTTAATTAAATCGAAATTATGTGATCTGAAGTGGTCATCTTCATTCTCGTATTGTTCGATTTAAGTTCGTGAGCGCGTTACACGGATACTACAGATTAAAATTTACCTTTCATGAAGGCTGAAAGCTCGAACGTACTTTCCACCACGTGGTCGCTCATGTTCTTCTCATGGACCGCCGGCACTTCACCGGTTTATCCCCTTCGTCGATTCACGCACCCTCACGCACTCAATGACAAAAATACACTTTCTTTTCCTCCCCCCCCTGGTAAAGATCCACAGAAATCTCGGCACGTGTAACAAACTGACTCCAGTCCGTCGCTCCGGTAATCCCAAAATTCGGTTCAACGAGAGTGACGTGCTGAGAAAAAGTATATCTCACGAGTCCGTCTAGGCGACAAACCCGACGGAGGACGACACACGTCCTGTTCCGATCGCAGTCGACAGCGAACTGACTCGCCTCGTGTACTCGCGACTCAGTTTCATGCTCTTACGTGTGCGAGGGAGGCCCGACTGGTCCGCACTCCATTCTACCACCACCAGTCTCGCCACCGCCGTCAGTAACTCGTCGCGCTACCACCACCACCATCACCACCACCACCGCCGCCACCAACACTAATAGTACTACTGAACTACTACCGCCTGCATACTACCACTACCATCGACGCGCGGCGACTCAACGTCGCCGCGAATACGGCCTTTCTCTCTCTCTCTTTCTCTTTTCTTTCTCGCTCGCCAACAAGCTTTGCCGACTCGAAACGCAGCATGCGAGAGCTGCGCGATAGTGGGGATTCATCGCGCCGGAAAAGATCCCGTGACAGAGAACGGCAGCGTTGGCGTTTGGCGTTGGCGTTGGCGCCGGTGATAGTAGTGGTATGTATCGTTAGACGTGTCGCAGCTATCCGATGATAGTAGTAGTAATCTCTAGCGTTTTCGTTCACTCGCTGCGGAGGATATTAGATGATGCGGCACGGTAGCATGAGAGTGGCGTTAATGATTGATAGACTCACGTTGATGTCACGTTAATAATGATCCGTAACAATATGAGAGCTTAATGGCTTAACGATTCTTAACGATTCTTATTGATTCTTAATTTCTCAATGATTCTGAACGCACGACTCCGATGTTGGCGCCGCTCGATCGTCGCCATCCGCGGATATTGGTAACCACCAGAGATGTTAAGGCGACGTAGCGCGTTGGCGTCGGTGGTGGCGGTGGCTGCACGGCGGAGGAGTGCACGCATTGTTGGCGGCGGGAGTCAGCGGGGGCCGACAGAGCGGCGCCAGCAGGCTGAGAGTTTAGCTCACGGTTTCTCTGTGGACCATTCGCTCGCCGTTCCTTTTTCTCCTTCTCACTGCCTCATCTCGCCTTCTCTCTTTCTCTTTCCAGTCTTTTCTCCTTCATTCGTCTCTCTTTCGTCGTATAGCCTTATAGCCGCTTTGCCCACCCACCACTGACAGTGCGCTCGTACGTGCGAGTGTGTGCGTGCGTGAGATGCCGGGGGCGGTCAGGAATCGCGAGTTTATGGGACTCACTGACCACCGCAGGAGTCTTTCCCCGGTCTCGAGACCCGCAGGCCGTTTACCGGCGTTGATCTCCGGGAGATTCGACCTCCGAATTTTTGTTCCTTTTGCCGCCCTCTCTGGCCAGCTCTCCGCTATCGTTTTCTGTATTGTCCGCGGTGTTTCTCCCGCTCGCCAGACCCGGTGCAACGTTCCTGTCCTGTCCTGAAAGAATGCTCGCCAGAACCATGGGAATCACCCGCGGGCGTAACGCGTACGGACGAAAATTAGGGGCACTTCTCGAACACAGTGGCGAAGCGACTGTAGCCGTCGTAATGCCCACCGGGCTTGCCGCCGTTCCGCCGAATCGTAAACTCTTCGGATCCGTGCGAATGCAAAGACAATTCTCGCCGTGACGAAATTTCGAGAGATAATTGTGGAACAAGTTTCATGCTCCGAGCAAAAATCACTCCCTTTAGGTTGAACGCACTAATTAATAAACAATTATTAATGAAAGATCATTATACTCAAGAAATATTTGCAAAATTGATCAATGTTTTTAAAATTTCATAAAGCTGTGAAATATTGTAGATAATAAAAGAAAGGAGAGAAAAAGAAAGAAGAAACAGATATGAAGATAAATATTCATACCGTTTATATATCAGAGAATATAAATAATGTATTTTTCAAAAATTTGTATTTAAATTATTTTTTTATTTTTTTTGTCCTTGGAAAATTTTATGAGTAAAAAATTTATGAGAGAAAATTTTATTTAATAAATTTGTATTTTCGTAAACCTATATTTTCAATATCTTTATGTATTTTTTCATTGGTTGATATTTATAGAAGAAAGCAATTTGAGGATTTTATTATACTCAATTTTAACACATAAAAATTTCAATAGTACAATATTTTGATCATAAATTTTCTTCTGATCTCTTTCGTCACTTTTTCTTTATTATCACTTTGTAAGATTTCTTTCCTCAAACAAATGGGAGGTAGCATACCTGCGATAATAATTTTGTTAGCACGTTGTCAACATGTGTATCTATTTTTTTCGTGAACTTTTTGAAATATGAAATTTATTGCATCATAATTTTCCCATCAACAAAGTTATATATATTTGGTTGTTTGTTATTTAACCACCACATGTAGGTCGAAAAGCTAAGACAATGGTACCGCCCTTTCATCATTGTTACCGGTTTTACGAGTGTTGTCAAAAAAACATTGTGCTCTGTCGGTCCGCTTTCATATTTGACACATGGCCACGTGGCTGGTCACCAGACACAGTTGGTCTGCAGACACAGCTGTATTCTCCACTCGAGAGTCGACAAATCTATGCAACAAATCCTCTTGGATTAGCGCAGATTAGTTTTGTGTCGTAAAGGACGGATTTACGGTCAGATAGGCAAACAAAGTCCGTTCAACTCTTTTCATTTTAATCGCTAATTTGTGCCATTTAATGAACATTTATTATCTTAAAGCGTTCTTATATGGCGATTATAAATTTTCTGTGAAATTATAGAATTAGAATAATTGAAAACGTAATTAAGGGAAAGATTATATAACAAAATTTGTAGAAATATCGCAATCGAAAAGTCTTCATAATTTCTCGGTTTATTACGAGAAAAAAAGCTTATCACATAATAGAGAAAAAAATCGCTAAGGACCTTTTAATTCTATCCTCTTAGAACCCCGTTATAGGGCTTCGAAGACGCTGGGCATCTACTGTCGAGCTGCATTTTCGAGGCTGCACGACTCCCGCGCTTCGTCGTAGCAGTCGGACTTGTCAAACCAGAAATCGACCGCATCAAGAAGCGTAACCGATCAAGGCCGTCGGGGACTTTTATTTAATCGCGCAATTATTTACTCGCGGCTCTTGTAGCTGATTTTCTGTTCGGTTAAATCAAATTAATCGAAAACTGCTAGTGCTTTTTTTCGTAACATTTACAATTAAACGAGATATATAATTCGCTCTCTTATTAAAATTTTTTTCTACAATAAAATTTAATTCTTTAATAATATATAAGATTTTAAATACGATGGATATATAAGGCAAAGATATAAGTACAAATGTATGATTCATATAATATCAATGAAGGTGATATGTTCTAATCAGTTTTATATTTATCGATAAGTGTAACATTTCTGATATGTTTTTTTAATCTTTTGAATTACATTTGAGACTCAGGAAATCGTCACTAATGGCTATTTATGTCAGTTTCTTCTAAATGAATTATCGTGAGTTGATAAGTATAAGAATGATCAAGTTTGCAGAAAAGAGAATAATATCTGATAGAAACAAAAGAGAATTATATCTTAGATTCAGAATTGCAGTATCATCGACAGTCATGCTTTTCCAAACCAGTGAGTTGACGCATTTTCTTGCACGGAAGTGAATCGTGTATCATTTGGTTTGTGGTATTGTTAACGCTGATCTTTTCTTCGTAAAGCAGAGTTTTCGGTAGCGTGAGTGACTTTCGGTTTCCGGAATCTACCAACTAAAAAAATGTTCCGTCTTTATATTTGAGTATCCACATACACCGACTGATCTCTTGTTTGCATGGAAATCCAGGGACGCTCGGCAGGAATGCTCGGCACCTGTGCTCTGAAAACGATTCTGAATGGCTTCTGGCCGCAATAATCTTAAGTATGATTCATCACGATCCTTTTTCACCGCGCTCCGGAATTAGTCGAATTCCGAAGTTACGCAGCCACTTTTAGATGATGGTTAACCGAGAAATACGTGCATCAAATTTTGTATAATTTTGAATATATATTTCTAAACTTTATGCAAAATTACATTTTGAGAGAAAATTAAATAAGTATATAATTTCTAAATCATAAAAGTTTACAGTTACAAATAAAAATATTGCTAGAAATAAAAATTTGCTTCTTGCGATTGTGTCATTATTGTTATTCAATCGCATTGAGATATTTCAACGAAAACAATTGTGTTTTTGCGGCTCCTATAAGAAACGCGTAATCGTCGCGCAATGATATTCGCAATGAAACTTGATTATTTCAGATGAGATTTTCCGGATAAGATATGTTAATAGAGATAAAATGCTTTGCACCACCTGTTGGCTAAGGGTTTTTTATCAGGAATTCAATCCTTATCAATTTACTTTCAAGTCATTGGCGATAATCTGTTTATCTGAGGTAAAAACGGGTGGTCTGATAGCGATTACTACGCGTAAAATTACACGTAAATATTTCACAAATAGACGCGTCAGCGACTACTGTAGATTATCATGTTATCGAGTACCAATTGCACTACGACATTAATTAAATCACGACATCTTGATTAATTAATACTAGTTAGTGATCTTTTTCCTACATTGTAAATATATTATTGCAGCACACACATCTAAATTATAATGTGTGTACATCTAAATATAAATATTTGATTAATTACGCGTCAGCATCGTAAAAGAAGATACATAGACGATGTTTCTTGTTGATTCATCGATTATAAAAAAATCATTTAATCCGCCAATCAAACCATTCTTGCAATTATCTTGTGATGAAATATTCTATACATAAACAAACACTTCTTGTCAGATGATTCGTTTCTCTTCGCAGCATATTTATGAGTAGAATATTTTAAAAAGCGTTCTGCTTTCGACCGCGGCAAATATTGGTCGCTCGCGCGAGAGATAGAGAGCATTAATGACTGTTATTTCGGCCGGCGGCAATTTCGCGCGCAATTGCACGAATCAACCTGCAAAAGAGACACGCCCGCGCGGCGCTCGGTCGCCTTTTAATTCGCATTCAATTCAAAAAGCAACCTCGGGCCAGCACCGGACATAGCCGGTCTCTTATTTTCGTTCGCGCATTTGTAATCTGAAAAAATATTTTAAAAATCTATAACTCTGTAAAAAATGAAACTTAATTGAGAAATAATCCTCCAAGCAAGAGCTGCTTATAGCTTATAACATTTTGTGTCTTTTACTAACCACTAAATAATTATTTCATTTTTCTGTAATTACAATAATTATTTTATTTTTCGTGCGGAATAGCTTACGTGAATTAATTGAGTCTGGGTAGACGCGGGGAATGACGGCCGTGTCTCATTC